GGTCTGTGTGTGCTGTCACGGTCTGTGTGTGCTGTGATGGTCTGTGTGTGCTGTCACAGTCTGTGTGTGCTGTGATGGTCTGTGTGTGCTGTGATGGTCTGTGTGTGCTGTGATGGTTTGTGTGTGCTGTGATGGTCTGTGTGTGCTGTGATGGTCTGTGTGTGCTGTCATGGTCTGTGTGTGCTGTCATGGTCTGTGTGTGTGCTGTCACAGTCTCTGTGAGTTCATGTGTCTCAGCCCTGTTGTATCTGGAAGACGTTGATGTCTTGGAGTCGGCCATCACCTCTGGCTCTGACAGTCTTTCTCCCTCCTCTTCCTCATAGGTCCTTGAGCCTTGGGAAGAGTTTATGTAAATGTCCCGGTTAGGACTGGGTGTTCAAAGCCTCTCACTCTCCGCACAGTATCCTGACAACTGTGTTCTGTCTTCTTACTTCTTCCTTAGTGCTGGGTCTCTGACCCAGGGTCCACCTTTAGCTAAGTAAACACTCTGCCACTGAGCCCTCCTCCAGCGGTAGTTTCCTGGAAAGACTGCATGACGGTACATAATCCGGGTATTCCATGTCTGAAAATGTTTGCATTTAGCCCTCGTACTTGATATGGACTTTGCTGAGGAAAATCATTTTGAAGACATTTAGGAGTTGGAGACTTCAGAGGTTAAGTTTTTAGTCCTCTCGCTCTTTAAAGGTCACCAGATTAGAGGAAACTCTCTAACTTGAGACATAGAGACCACTGTCTTTTTTTAAAAATTGAGGTGCCAAGCTAAAGTTGAGGGTCATTTTGTTAGAGTTCTTGCCAAGCATGTGCATGTAGTATCAATGCCCCACACCACAGAAAAGGAGGCATGGCGGCACAGGTCTGCAATACCAGACCTTGGCAGGTAGAGGCAGAAGAATCTTTTCTTTTTCCCAGATTTATGTATTTATTATTTATACAGCATTCTGTCTGCATGTCAGAAGAGGGCGCCAAATCTCATTACAGATGGTTGTGAGCCACCATGTGATTGCTGGGAATTGAACTCAGGTCCTCTGGAAGAATAGTCAGTGCTCTTAACCTCTGAGCCATCTCTCCAGCCCTAATCAGAGGAATTTTAAGTCAAGGTCATCCTCAGTTACATAACAAGTTCAAGCCAACCTGGAGTATATGAAATCCTATCTAAAAAAAAGAAAGAAAGAAAGAAAGGAAAGGAAAGGAAAGGAAAAGGAAAAGAAAAGGAAACATAGACCACACATCACACACTTCGGATATCACAGCTTGGTGGTTTGGTTAATCCACCAAGTTGTGCAATCATCACCACTGTCTAATTTTATGACGTTTTCAAAAGAAGCTGTAGCCCTGTCAGTACTCATTCCCTCTTTCCTCACTCTATCCCCTAGCATCTGCCGCTCTGCTTCCTGTCTGTTAGGATGTGCCCATCCAGACTTTGATATAAATGGGATTTTATAAGAGGTGGCCTTTGTATCTGGTTTCTTTCGCTCACTGTAGTGTTTTCAGGACTCACTTACATTTTGACGTATATTAGTTGTCCATTCCTTTCTTATGACTGAGTTATCTATATATTGGTAATCTGTATTTCACTTATCCATTTATCAGTTCTTGGGCCTCTGGGGTTTTGGTTTTTGGCTCTTGGGGTTATACCAGGAACATTTGTTTATAGTTTGTTTTTGAATGTGCATATTCTGTTCTCATGGGCATAGACCTTAGGAGTGAAATTGCTAGGTCATACAGTGGCTCTGTTTAACTTCTGTGGAAGCGTCTCTATGGCTTTTTAATGTCCAAGGTTACTACTGAGGTATTGGAAGCCTTTCTGGTTTCTGATTTTCCAAGCGTTCCCTTTGTCTTGCTTCTCCCTAGAAGCTATAGAATCATCCCTTTATCCCCAAAGTTGTGAAATTTCATAATGATAATCTTGGACATGGCTGTTTTCATCCATTGGTCTGGGTGCTTGCTGGGCCTTTTCAGTTGTGAAATCCAGGTCCTCGCCTCCTAGATAGCGACAGAGTATCAAGGTTGCTGTTATAACTGTGCAAGCCGCGCACTGCACGAAGGTGCCCCACTGAGGAGGTGAATGGCAGCTAAAAGCTAGCATGGATTTCACTTCCTGAGGCCACGCTGCGTCTGCTTGGAAGTGGCCTTTTTCTCCACAGGCCTTTTCTCTGCTCGGCCAGCTGCAGGACAGGTGACCTGGAGGCTGGTGCTGACTCTCCACTCCCTTTCCTATGTTCAGACATTGCTTCTCCTAGACTCGATCTTCAAAATCCTATTTTTTAGTGGCTAGAGTATAGCTCTGCAGATCTCTTACTAGCTTGCATGAAGCCCTGGGCTTGATCCCCAGCATCTTTTTTTTTTTTTTTTTTGGTTTTTCGAGACAGGGTTTCTCTGTGTAGCTTTGCGCCTTTCCTGGAACTCACTTGGTAGCCCAGGCTGGCCTCGAACTCACAGATATCCGCCTGGCTCTGCCTCCCGAGTGCTGGGATTAAAGGCGTGCGCCACCACCGCCCGACCCCAGCATCTTTAAATAGGTAACAAATGTCTCATTTCCTATCCTGTTTCCCATCTCTTTTGCTTTCCTTTCGGGTAGCTCAGTCTTCCCTGCTGAGTCTGTGGCTGGGGAGGCGGGTGTCTGATGGCGAAGAGCTCCCCTGTCTCTGTGCTCTAAACCCTCCCTGCCTTCAGTCTCTTGTTCACAGGTCAGGCATTGCTAATGGCATCTTGACGTTTTCCCCTCCCTGGAGTTTCTCCCCTTCCTTTCTCTTTTGGTGTTTGGATCTCTGTGTCTCTGATGGTTTGTTTAAGAGTTTAATTAATAACTTCCAGTATCTGTGCGTCTCTAACTTCTTTATCTTGAGCTATCAGCTTCCTGTGTGACAAGACTCTTCTGTTACTCTGTCTGGAGAGGACAGCGCCTATCTTCCCGAATTCTAGGGCCTAATGGGAAAGT